GGCTTCTTAGCTCTAACTGACTAAATAAAGTTTATCTGTGAGGCACAAGTGGCATCCCTTGCTTTTGTTGCTGTAGTCCAGGGCAGTCACTAAAATACTCCAGTTAATTGTAGAATTGGTGTTGTTGTCTTTGAGTGTCCAGATATGTTTTGATATTTCCGTGCTGCTTGAATAGTTTCTGTTCTGAAAAGAAAGTTTGTGTCGTGTGTAACATTGTTTAAAAGTTCCTTCTGTTAGTCCAATGTAATTCTTTCCAGTTGTGTCACTTTCTGTTGTTACGTTGGCATTGTAGACGACACTTGAAGTGAGGCAGTTGTTTTTCAGAGGGCAGTTGTTTTTTTTCCTGCAGTTACAGTTGTTTTCCATGGAGGGTGTCTTGCTTGTTTTGAGGATTTTTCTGTTGCGTTTCTTAATTATGGTTTGTAGGTTGTCTGTTCTTGCGGCTGTTCTGTGCAGTGTGAGATACAGATTTCTTGCGTTCAGTGTAGGTTAATTTTTCGTTGTGTCCACTTTGTTTAAGGGCACTTTTGTAGTGTGGTTTGGCTTTGTTAAAGAGTTCTTTGCTTGAGGAAATGTCAGAGATTTGATGGCCGATGGCTGCTGGTAGGTGTTTTATTATTGTAGGTGGATGATTGGAATTGGTGTCGATGTAGAGAGTTTCGTTGTTGTGCTTTCTGTGTAGATAGTGGGTTCCATCTGTGAGGTTTAGGGTGACATCGAGGAAGTTGCAGATTTTTAGGTTTGTGCTTGTAGAAATGTTCTGTCCTTGTTTCTTAAATTCTCGTGTGATGTCCTTTCTAGTCCGTTCTGATTGTGGTCCGCTTGTGTTTCTTAGAAGTATCAGCCTACAGCAACAAAAGCAAGTGGTGCCACTTGTGCCTCACAGAAAATGTAATTTGTGGTAATCCTAATTAGCATAAATTAATATTTTGCCAGCACGTATCGGAGGACTGGGGATGGCTGTGTATGTATACTTAGCTCAGCTACCACAGCACTGAGCTCTTTACGCCAAGGTAGACTCTACCCCCACATATGTAGACATATATTTAACAATTATTGCACTAGTGCACATTGGATTTGAGATGATAGGTAGCCAACAAGGCACATAGCTATAATCATCTCATATCCAACAAGCATGAGTGAAATAATTGTCTTATTAAAAAAAAAATGCCCCCGAGATATTGGACAAATCTTCTTGACTTTATTTTGTAAGAAGAAACCGGATGTTACAATGCACAGATATTAGATTATGGTATATTGGCTGACATATACCATAATGGCTAAGCCAATAAAAATTCTTGAATTGCATTATCCAATGATAATGCAAGTCTAACCACTATATATATATAGTGGTTAGGATTTACTGTTAATCAAAGAATATCATTCCTTCTTTACTACTATCAACTGTCTGTTTGACAATGTGTTGATATTGTGGGGGACGGGGTGTAAGTGCTGTTCACTCGTGGAGTAAAATGGTTTAATAGCAAATCATTAATCAGCAACAACTGGTTTGAACTTTCTCATGCATGTTTATATCTTGACTTTCGTTTTTCAAGAAGATCAAAATTCTAAGCAAATCTATCAAATCAAATTTCATCACCTTAGATCCAGGCTGTTTATTCAAGCACTGAAGAAGTTCCCTCCTTGCGCATTCTCGCAGCAAGCCCACATTGACTCGACCATTCGACAAGTGACTTCCTCCAGCGGCCGCCATCTTGATTACATTTACTGTACACCCTGTGAGGAAATAGATGAAGATACTTGCATTTACTCGTAACACCGCTGGTTATTAAGCGCCGCCAGGGTGAAAGCGACAAGAAAGATACGGAGACATTTCCAGTGATTTTGAATGGCTTTCTTCCTTTTTCATTCGAGGATAGCAAGCTTGACGGCACTTCCGGGTATAAAAGCTAGAATTTTTCCTGATTTGAGAACAAAATGTGTACTTATTAGAACAATAGTGACGAAAACTAAAGGCAATTCAAGCACGCTCTTAGTTGGTTGGCGGCCTCCATGGAACCCGAAATTACTTTCAAACGTGAAAGGGTTTTCCTCAAAATCCTCAAGTATAAAATCAAGAATGTTAAAAGGGTTTAGATACTTGTGCTTGGCTGGTGGTGTAGTATTTTGGTCGTGCGTTGCTGTTTCCTTGACGTTAAGTGCGACCGGTTTGTTAACATTTGGGATCGAAGAGGAGACAGTAGAAGTAAAGCACTCGAACCCGCATATGGCAAAACACATAGCGTCCATGTTTCAGTTATGTGACGATCCCGAAGACTTATCAGATTCCTTGGCTCTTATGGAAGAGAAAAGAGATGAATACGCCTTGAAGAGAGCAGCTTATAACTCGACCTGGAAAAGGCTGTCCAATGAGGAGGGCTTCCGAACAAAGTTTGGAGAGGAGGTGCTTGTGATAGGGTATAACCGCCAGGAAATCTCTCTAATTGAAGCACGTGACGGAACAGAAAAAGGCAATATTCATAGAAATGAAGACAAATGGAAAGTGTGTGTTTTCATTGTTGGCTCAAAATTATCTGGTCTGGTGACGATGGAATTTCATAAAGTGACAAAGGGTGAAATCAAGTGGATCCCTGTGTCACTTTCGGTGGAAGAAATTCCGAGATCAGGAATTAAGATTTGTGATATATCTGCTCCCCTTCCAAATGGTGTCTCAAAATTTACCCGATTCATGAATGACGACTAGTGACTCCTATTTCTCTGTATTTTTTTTTGACAGACTGCAGGTTAGGAAAGGGATAATGGACAAAAAAAACATGTGAACAATGGTGCTGGAGTTTATTTTGATAACTCCCTGGTGGGGTCCAATCTTTTGTTTTTGTGTTCACATGGCCCAGCAGCTCAATTCCAAAGGAAAGGAGGTGTTTTTGTCATTTAGAAACTGCTGATTTGTGAACCTGTAAATTTGACTTGGATTCAGATATGCTTCAGATTAGGAGTTGACTTGGTGAGCTGGAAATACTTCCTTGTTTTCTCCAACTAGACCATTCAAGTTGGTGCCTCAACAAGTTATGCGATGACCCAAGAAGTTAACGCAAAAATTGTTCACAATACTTAGCACCCCTAGCCATACTGAAAATAATTTAAGAGACAAGCACCCTTTCTTGGTATGAAAATGAAAACAGCAATAATGAGGCCTAACTCCCTCTTGTGTTAAACAACACTTTTCTTAAATTGTTTATCTTTTCCTTTCTTTTCTTAAATTCTTGTTTTAAACAACACTTTTATTAAATTGGTCTCACAATGTTTCTTTCACTGTTCAAGGACAAGTAATACTGTTATTTTAGAAAAAAATATAAATATAATTTTCCTTTATTTATGATTCCCAAGAGTATCAAAAGCTTTCTTTATGCTCAGCATCCTACCACCACAAAACTTGAGAGAAACCAAGCGAACTGACAAGGAGTTTAACATTCAGATAAATTCAACTTTGAAATTATAGGAAAAATGAGGTTCCCAACTAGTATTTTATAAAATAACTTTCTCAAATTCTTAGAAAGAACAACATTGTTAGAACAAAACAGCAAAATTACTGGCAGTAAAATACTGCCTTTGCAGTTGAAGTATCACCTAGAACTATAGCCTCCTTTGCAGACGTTCTTCGGGTGTTGAATTAAAATAACATAAACTTGATTGGATAACTACAAACAATACTGAAGGCAAATCTCACTTCAATGGAGCAGACGTTCATCAACGGAGAATTTTTAATTCGACACCCAAAGAACGTCTGCAAAGGACGCTACTAGAACTACCCATACTTTTGCTTTTGAGTGAGCTAAGACACTTCTGTCTGATTTCCAGCACTGATTTCCTCAATTTCACACACTGGCTTATGTTTTGGTACATTTCTAACCGATTTTAGACCCTAGCATCAAATTTTGGACAGTTCATCTTAATAAACCACATCCCTGAATGAATCAAATTAATGCAACCACACTTGTCTAATATAAAATGTTTAATAGTGGGTTTAAGTTAAGATAACATTACAAATGGACACAGCTTCAAGAAAGTAGAAATTGCACAAGCGTAGACATAATTTTTACAATGACATTAGCTTGCATTAGCAAACAGCTGATAAGGCAGAAAATGGTACCGGAATTAAAAGAACTTTAGATAAAATGAAAAGGGTTCATGTGAGGTAACAAAGAACTGGTTTCCTACATTCAAATGTCTGAATTTCACTACATTAATACCTTTCTTCTGTAATTTCAGGTAATTCATATCAAATTGGGGCATGCAAAGCTACTTACTGCATAACTAGGAAATACCATGGACTGTGCACTTCTGAAGGCAAACAATTTTGGCTTGTATAACAACTGGTATATTAACTTATGACACCTTAGGCGGGCAAGGAATTACACCACTTCAAGTAAGGGATTTCAATTGTAAGAAAATTTTGAGCTGTCACTCATTATAACAATGATTTCAGCCCTACATTTTTGTCGGAAATTGCACAGTTAATTGAGAATTTATTCTCAAGCTGGATAAAAAAAAGAGCTTGACAGTACCACATCAGAATCTCTAAATTTATAATCCATTGTTAACAACATTTTTTCATAAACATTTTATTTTGCATATTTCAACATACAGCTGAGGAAAGCTGAACAGTTATCTACATTTGACAATAACCAATACCTTGTGATCAAAGTTGACATAATCATACAGGAAAATAAATCAATTCTGGGTTTAGTCCAATATTAGTACAATAAGGAAACCAAATTTCCATCAGAATTATTTCCAGATAATGAGATTCCTATCACATTTATAACTCTAGTGACTGCTTGTCTCCATCTGGTTACAACCACATCTAAGCCCTTAACCAGCTTACTGAAAAGAAATTTTAGCATTTCCTACTTACAGTGCATTGCAAGCATGCTAAACTCAATTAAAAAGCTTAATTTATTTGCTATATTCAAGCCATTTACAAGTGCATATGTGCTTGATATTTTTCTATTGATGTACTAATTATACAGTATGTCAACATAAATTCAACTGTGGGCATGATGAATGAATTTGGCAATTCAATATAATTAAACTCCTTTCCGAGTGGCTTCATAGTGGAAGGTTTGACTACAAAAACAAACAAAAACAACCAACATTAGTTATCTCTTGGGCAGCAAGTAATGCAGTGAAGTGTAATAACCATCATCCACCCTCATTTGTTAATTTAGTAGCAGCTTCAGCTATCTCCATTCTTTTTTTTTACCTGTCATTAAGTGTGTAGATTCCCACTAATACATTAATGTTGATTGCTTTCTCATTTATGGTCACATTCATTAATTTGCCAAACACCTACATGTATTTAGTAATTCATTCAGTGAATCTTATCTAATTTCATTTTTTAATCACTCCACATAGTTCTTAACAATCTGTACAGTAATGTGATCAACCAAAAAAGAGAAATTACACTTAATACTTGGTCAAAATCAAATCTAAAATTGTTACAAAATACACCAATGATCAATACATTCAATCCAATAAAGTTATCAGTTGTTTGACTTTCAGATGTCAACTTTTGATTGGCTGTCTGCTCATAACAGCAGTATATAGGAACTTATACAATGAGAAATATGGCATATTTTGAGCTTTGTGGTGGAATAAAGAAAAATGTTATTTGCGTTGTCAAGAACCTAGGACAAAGAAAAAAAATCTGTGTTTCTATGCAAAATCAATCCCCTTGTCCCTTGCAACTTATTTGAAAATTATCATTCAACCTCTTGTAGGCATTTGGTTTTTGAGGTGGTTTTTTAGCTGTGTTCCAGTCTGTACCTTTTTACTTTGTTTGACTGGTCTTCCTTTGATCATTCCATAGAGCACACAGGTGATCACCATCACAAATAAGAAGTAACTTGAGTACTGCAGTCTTAGATTAACAGCTGAAACATCAACCTGATGAGAAAGTAATATGTTGATAAATATACCGTCTTCCTTTGTTGACATGAAGTCTTATTACACTGCTCACCGCCAAGTAGTTAAAAAGAATACTGTCATGTGATGAAACATAACATCTACCTCAACTAAAATAGACCTCTGTCTGGATTTTGTTGCTAAAACTACAATATGATTGTGCAAATGTCCACGAAGCAGTGACTGATAATTTAGCAATGTGGATGGAGTCATCATCATTTCTCACTGTAGAGGGTACCCAAATTACTTCACAAGATTCCCAAGCTCTACACCTAATGTTTTGATTATTGCTTACCATTGTCATTGTTGCAGTAGTGGCATGCTGCTGATTCAGTGGCAGAGATGTCTCAGCCTTGATACCACTGAAACAAAGTTTTTCTTCATGTGTGGTAATGCTGACCATTTCTACAACATGGAACTCTGATGACCTGTTGCACGTCCTTCTGTACCTGAATCAGCACAAATTAATGGTAAATCATGAGCTTGTTTCTCAGTAGTGCTAGGAAATTGATTTTGGTTAAACTAAATTATCCTGCTCAATCTTAACACAGATGAGCACATTTCACAAGGTTTCTAGCTTTCTGAAATTCAATGGATTCATTTCAATTTACATTGTTGGAGTTCACACTCATTTGCGTAACTGACTGTGAAGAATTTTCAGCATTTGCAGCATTTTGAAACGAGATTGCCTAAAAAATATGGAAACATTTAAGGGATGGTTGTTTGTGTCAATGCTGTATCTACATAATGAATCAAAGTTACTCACTGCAAATGTTTTGGGACAATCTCACTTGGAACAGTAACAAATCCACAAGCTTCCAAATACATTGGTCTACATTTGTCTTGGCAATCTGAAAAAATATAGTTATATTAGTTTTGTAGCCACTAGAATTTGTATTTCTATTTGTTGTCAAGCAACTGCAAAATAATTTCATATCGTTTTTCTTTCTACTGTATTACTATAGTAACGTTCTGTTTCTATCCAATTAAGTTCTAGTTTTTGTGTGAGGTTATGTAAGAATTATGTCACACTAAGAGCTATTTATTTTCAGAGTATGCGTGTTGTTTTCGTAAAATAATTTTCATTGCTAATTGATTTCAACTAAGTCAGTCGTTTTGTTAGTTTTTGCTGGCACTGTGTTGCTGGACCTGGTCACACCAAATTGTAAGTTTGTTTCTATTCCAACTGTTTTTTGTCGTTGTTCTTGTTGTTGCTATATTTTGTACTTACATATTTGTATTAATTATTTTCAGTCAAAGCAAACACGCATCTACAAATCATTACATCTAAATAGACGTCCATTCAGCAAATAAATTGAATGTCCATTCGCTTTGTGGCATTAAACATGTTGTTTTACCCTTCCTGAGTAAATGACCTGATTTAAGAACAAGCAAGTGTCTCAGACCTTAGTTACAAGTCTTGATTTAAATCTACAAAATTCTTAAAAATTACATTCACTTTACACACGTGGTCTTGAAACCAAACTAAATGATTACAATATAGTTGCTCCACCAAACCTATCAGTAAAACTGCAGTGAATTGATTTTAACTGGTCCTTTCTGAGTGTTTCTTACATGCTGGGGCTCTTTATATGTGCATGGTGTAAATAAATAAGCCAAAAGAATAATAATAATATCTGGTTATGGCCATGCTAAATTGCACAGTCAACATACCCATGAACCATGGTTGGTGAAAAAAAAACGTGACATTGATCAGTGAACTTCCCTGGAAACCTAATGACAAGAAAGGAACAATTAATGTTTGATACTCTCAAGCCCAGCAAACTCAGCAATTTCAGAGTCAAAAGTAATCTAGGTTGAGTTGTTTTTGCCTTACTATGGTCAAACTTGGATGCTTTCTCTACATTATTCCAGTGGTCTACATCTTGGAGTCCACAAGGATTATCATTTACAAAGCTTTACAATCACCAATTATATCAAAATGAAGAATTTTCAAACATAAAACTAACCTTTTAAACCCAATTCTGATATTGGTATTTGTGCTGAAACATGGGTAACATTCTCCACTACAGAACTGAAATTAACTAAGGGGTTCAAAGCCAGATGAAGGATTGGTATGGTTACTGTAGTAAACCCAGTAGGTGTAGCATCAGTTATGTTTGTAGAATTGTAACCAGTGGTATTTCCAGAGAAGCTTTGGTTACCAAATATGCAAAATTCAGTGGAACTCAAATAGCCTAGTACAGAACCCCATTTCTAAGATTGAAAAAGAAACAAAATTTGTAAATGATCAAATAAGTATCTTAAATGAAAAATAACTTCCCAATGACAATAACAAAAGCCTACCATCTTTTAGGCTATGCTGTAACATGACTGCTGCCCAGTAATTTCTACAGGAAAATACTTTGACTTCAACAACATATTAGATACATATATCTTATTAATCAAGCGCGAGGGCCGTACTGGGAGAATATTGGCCCGAGGTCTTGACAGTACGGACCGAGCTGCGCTCGGTCCGTACAAAAAAGACCGAGGGCCGATATTCTTCCAGTACGGTCCCAAGCAAGCTTGGTTAATAAGAGATTTACTATACGACTGAAGTTCAAAGGGACACAAGTGCGGTATCATTCGGGACCATTCGGGACAGTGCCCGGTCCAATACTTAGAGAATATTGGACCGGCAATAGAGCATTTTGATTGGTTGATTTTAGTTATTGGCCCTCTGACTGCCCGAGTCGTGTAATAAAATACA